CTCAGTATACCACGAGCTGCAGCTCGCGGTATACTGAGACGCTGCAGCTGAAACGGATCCCAACAATTATGTCTGGATCCGCCCAGCTGCGTGACTGCCAGCTGGCTCTTCCTATCTAGAGGCAGAGCCAGCTGTACGCGCCCCCTCCCCTGTCTGTTCTGCCAGCCAGCGCTGGCGGATCGGAGCGGGGAGGGGGGAATCCAGTCCCTCCCCTGTCACGGCTCTCTGCCGTGACAGGATCGAGAAGTGAGCGAACGCCGGTATGTGTTCGCTCACTTCCCTATCTACTGAGCCGACCTGTGACAATGCAAATCCGCCCAGCTGCGTGACTGACAGCTGGCTCTTCCTATCTAGAGGCAGAGCCAGCTGTACGCGCCCCCTCCCCTGTCTGTTCTGCCAGACAGCGCTGGCGGATCGGAGCGGGGAGGGGGGAATCCAGCCCCTCCCCTGTCACGGCAGACAGCCGTGACAGGATCGAGAGGTGAGCGAACGCCGGTATGTGTTCGCTCACCTCCCGATCTACTGAGCCGACCTGTGACAGTCTCATTGTCACAGGTCGGCTAGAACTATGAGGTGAGTGAAAAGCACTCTCCTCACAGTTCTCCTTTAAGAAGATCTCCAGAGTTGTTCTGACTTCTTAAAACTGTACTATAAATAATATATGAGAATATGTGAGTGTGTGCATGCATGAGTAAATGACTTTGCATTTTTGTATGTATGTATGTATGTATGTATGTATGCATGTGTGTACATATGAGTGTATGTATACGTGCATATGTAAGATGGGGCCTCATGTTTAAGTTTCGCCTTAGGCCTCACAAAGTCTAGAGCCGCCTCTGGCAGTGAGGACCCAGCAAACAGAACACACACAGGAACAACTGAAGACAGAAGAGGTAACGGTAAATAAATCATTAAAATAATTATTATTTGTAGCCAAATGTTGTATAAAGTACTGTTGCAGCAATGCAGAATGACACCCTTTATAGAGGACTACAAATCTCAGCAGTACTTTATACAGAAATGCTATTGTTATATAAAGTATTGCTGGGATGTGTAGTTCTCTGTAGCCTGTGCCATTCTGCATTGATGTAAATATTAGGGATGCACCAATATATCGGACGCCAAAACATATCGGTTGAAAATGGCCCTTTTGGCTAAATGCCAAAAGTGCCATTTTTCTGCCAATACAGCAACACATCTCTGCTTTCTTTCCTCCCCGCATGGGGCACTGCTCTGTGTCCCAGCGGGGTGGAGAGAAAGTGTGACAGCTGGCCGAGCGCTGCGGGAGGAGAGCGCTGCGTTTGTGTTTTTTTTTTGGGGGGGGAAATTTGGCACCAGGGCCCTTTGTTCTTTAGGTCCGCCACTGACGTGGACGGACCATAGTGTTCTTGTGGCATTTTTACTCTTACTGACCAGTCTGTCTCTGTTTGACCCACAGAAGTGAGTCAGGTGGACCTAGTGTAGACAGCATACTGTACAAACGATAGATGGTTAATCTGCATTACCAAAGGTGTTCAAATGGTACATAGCCAACCATATATAATCACATAATGAGATGTTGTTAGTTAATTAGACTAAAATATCCACCAGGAGGATGCAAATGTGCCAATGGTCAAATTTTCATGTTCTACTAGCTTTCCTCAAGCTTCCTCAATCCATGGTACATCAATCTTTATGCCCACTAAAAGCACCTTCTATGTGATGAAAGCTCTCTTTTTATCTTCTCTCCCACTCCTTACTTTACTGCATGCTCTCCAAAGAGATCAAAATGCTCAATGCCACCTTCTGATTGAATGTTGGTGTGGATAATCAGAATTCATTATTGAGCAGCCGTACTTCTTGATTCAGTAGAACAGAGCTACCACTTAGACCAGAAGCTGCTGTCAGAGGTGGGTGGCTTTTTAGAAAGATTATGCAGCTTATAGATGGGGTGCAGAGATGCCAGGAAGAGCTATTTTTATCAGCATTACTAGTTAAGTTACTCATAATGACATGTTAGAATTTATGTTCAACAAGGGGCCCAAAAAAAAATCTTGCACCAGGGCCCTTTGTTCCTTAGGTCCGCCACTGCTAGCAAGGTCTACCTAATAAAGTTGCTGGTGAATGTATATACTAATATACTTTTCGATGAGGAGGACTGAGAAAATATATAGAAGTCTTTAGCCTTGTTTTTCTCCAGTATTTCTGGAAACCTAATTTAAGAAAGTTTCGTAGCCTCTAATATAACTTGTTCTATATAAAGCACATTTACACTGTGTTCATATGTCCAGCGTCCCAAGCACTATAATTGAAATGCATTTGGTTCGTCTCCTAACAAATCCATCTTTATTCCCTGTGTTATATAATACAGTTCCACGTTTATAAGTGGGATAAGACGGCTTCTAGCCAGACAAAGACTACGAAGTCGTCGTCTCTGCCCTCAGCAGCCGGATATTGCAATCTCTGGGTAAGTTTTCTCTGTGGCGTGACGACATTGTTTTGCTTTCCCATCCTCCCCCACACACAATAACAAGAGGCCTCGAATGGAAACAGAGGGCGGAGTCAGGCGAGCAGAAGTCCGAGTCCGCACTGCAACAGGCGCCATTCACGGAACTAGCGCTCCCATTGGCGCGCGAGGAGCCGAGTGCTTTTTCATTGGCAGGAGGCAACGGAGGGCGGAGCGCACGTTGTTTTTTTTTACTGAGTTGGGAAGGTCGAGCTGCGAGTGCGAGTTGCGTGTTGGACGCTGAGGGGAGAGGAGAGCTGTGTGGACGAGGCGTGACACCGGAGGAGCCTTTTCTGTCCTCGCTCGTATTCGGGTGACTTGTGTGGTCGTTCACCTCCGCTGTGTGGGGAACAACAGGGAGCCAGCTTTTGAAGTTTTGGTAAGTTCCTATGTGGCTGTTGGGCTCGGCCCCGCCTCTCCCGGCGCCATATTGTGCCTTCTTCTCTGCCCGTTTCTTTGTTCGGTTCTTTTGTCGTTGTTGGACTTCCCTGTACCCAGAATGTTTCTGATCGCTACCATTTTCCTTCTTTCACTTGTAATAACTTTTTCAGTGCCCGTTCCTGAGCTTTCCTCAAATGTCTTGGTCGGGCTGGTGTTACTTTAACCATACCCCCCCACCCCCCCAATCCGGATACTTTTGTTTATCAACAATCGCTGTCCTGTGTAATATAGGTATAATAATAAATAATCGCTGCTCCGATTTATTGATGAGCAGTGACGTAATTTAAGATGAGCCCACGTTACAATCGGATTGTGCAATCCCCATTAGATCTGTCGTGTGAGGGCTTGTCTGATTTGATAAGACTAACCAGGTCCTCTTATTACACGGTGTTGGGAAATCTAAAGTTGTTTAGTACGGTGGGATTGTAATGTGTATGGTGACCCTTAGGTGTGATCAGATGTGCTTTGTTTGTACAGGGCAAGGCATTTTGTTTATTTTATAGACATGTACTCTGTCTTTATGCAAGTCTGGGTTTATAGCTTCAATCTGGCCCTATTGTATTTGAAAGGTGACATTCACAATGCTTTATGTTCAGCCAGATGAATGTCTTTTAGATCTGTTGTCAGCTGACAATGACTTCTGTTAAATCCATATCCTGCTGCGCTGTCTCTGGAAGGTGACTGTTTGTCTTCTACTGTGGGGTAAATCCCATCATCCTAAGCAAAAGGAATAGGTGATCTGATGTCAGAAATGTATTAAGTAAATGGTTTCGATGGATGTTTTTAATGTATCTGCTATGC